TCAAAAAGCATCCCCATTGTTGAGATCAGAAAACACAGGCTTAGGGATGTCAAATGGCTGTTCAAGGTCACACAGGGCAGAACTAAGAGCTGCCTAAAGCTAGGGCTGCATCACCTTCCCCCTAAGCTACCTGAAGCTTGGTCTGCTTCTGACATGGAGGGAGAGGATCTGGGGGAGCCTCATTCCCCACCTCACCACCCCCACCAAGTTGAGAGACAGTTTACAGTGTGGACCCGCTGCTATGGTGTGCATGTTTGTCTTCTCTAAAACTCATGTTGAAAAGTAGTTGCCATTGTGCCCATATTGGGAGATGGGACCTTTAAGGGGTGTGAAGGTCATGAGGGCCCTGCCATCATGGGTGGATTAATGTCAGTATTGTGGAGGTAGGTCTGCCCCCTCTTGCTCTGTCTCACCCTCTCTTTGCCTTCTGCCATAGGATGATGCAGCAAGAGGCCCTCACCAGATGCCAGCACCTTGACTGCGGACTTCCCAGCCTCCAGAACTGTGAGCAATACATTTCTGTTCATGATAAATTACCCAGTCAATGGTGTTTTGTTGCAGCAGCACAAAATGGACTACAGCACCCACCCTAGGAGAGTCCTTCAGACTTCAAAGCAAGGTACTTAATTTTATTTCTTTTACAATAAAGGTAGTTTTGAGAAACTGAGTTAGGAGGATCCCAGATCCAACAGAGGGGCAAAGGCCTGGAGGTTCCAGGGTGGGAGAAGGGCTGTCACAGCACGAAGGATATAAGCAGACCACTCAGGAAAGAGAAAACCAAATGGTTGTTAAACAACTGACAGGTGGCTCAAGCCTGTAAGTGGGAAATTAAAAAGCAGAGGAAGCATACAATGGCATTTGCCACATGGACACTGGAATTAGCAGAAATGTAAAGGAATGACATCCCCCAGTGTCAGGGTGGATGCAGGGAAGCAGCTGCCATTGGAGACTTCCGTGGCAACACAGCTGCCACAGCCTCTTTGGAAAGTAATTTGGCTGAAGCTATTAAGATTTTGCATGTGCATGTCCTCCTACCAAGCAATCCCATGCTTGGAGTCCATCTTCTGTGGGGAATAAGTATGTGGTACAAGCCAGATTACGTCTCCCAAAGTTCATATGTTAAAGTGCTAACCCCCAGGACCTCAGAATGTGAGTGTATTTGGAGACAGTCTTCATTAAGGAGGTCATTAAGGTTGAGTTCATTGAGGTGGACTCTAATCCAGTCTGACTGATGTCCTCAGAAGAAAAGGGGATTAGGACACAAAGAGGCACAGAGTAGGGAGGCGGAGGTTGCAGTGAGCCGCGACCGAGCCACTGCACTCCAGCCTGGGTGACAGAGCAAGACTCTGTCTCAAGGCAAAAAAAACCAATGAGGCACAGAGTAGACAATGTCTACACAGAGACAGACGGCGGCCATCTACAAGCCACAGAGAGAGGCCTCAGAAGAAGCCATCACAGCTTGCACCTTGGTCTCCGAATTCTAGCCTCCAGAATTGTGAGAAAACCAATTTCTGTTGTTTAAGCCCCACAATCGGGGAACTGTTATGGCAGCCCTAGCAAACCAATGCTCTGCAATAGGACACACGTAAGGTGTTCCATGAAACCCTGCTGAAATGGCAGCAGAATGCAGTCACATCCAGGTTCACCAGCAGTGGAAGGCTGAATTGCTGTGGCAAAAAAGCCCCCCTTATGGAATATGATGACGGCAAGTGAGGCCAAAGCTCTGGGCCTGGTGGGCTAAGAGGCTAAGATGTTGTGTTCTAGGCTGTGGCAAACTGCAGAGACACACAGAGAACAGCTGAACCAACCCTTCCCCACTCCCCATTTTTGTGTATAAACCACTCTATTAAGCCTGATGATTTCTAAGGCTTGGAGCAGGTCTGGAAGGACAGAGGAGCTGATTCTTACATGGGATATCTGAGGCAGGTGGTTAAAAAAAACAAAAACAGTAGCAACATGCAAAAATTCTCATGGCCTAGTCTGATATGAAAACAAGAAAAAGTGTTTTCTCTGATACTTCTACAAGTATCCACCTTCCCAACTTGCAGGTGAGGGAGGAGTGGGAGCCCAGATTTCTGAGGAGTAGAACTGTGGGCCAATCCAGTGGGAAGGCCCTGCTAGAGAGACCCCAGGAGTCCTTATATACAAAGCTGGGTTCTGGACCCGTGTTGGTCATCTCGTGGTACTGGCAGTGGAGACACCCCCATTATTGTTGGCATGGTGCACCTACCCCTTGTCCAGGAAGACAGAGGAGTTGAACCCATCAACCAGCTGCTCATTAATCACCCACATGGAGCTCTGCAAAGATGATGCCCGGCAGCCAGATCATCAGACATCAGGGCCCTGCCTGGCCATCACTGCAGCGGGACACCCACATTAGAAATTCTGCTCCCCAGATAAGGCACAGGACGGCAACTGCATAGACTTTCAGCCAGAGAGGAAATGAGCTGAAGTCTCAGGGGCACAAGATGACACCTGGGGAAATGTGCTTCACCAGGCACTCACCTTCCAGCTTGCCAGGCCCACCGGGGTTCCAACACCCAACAACCTGCTCCGGCCCAGGAAGGGTCCACCACTCATCCCTTGCCTTCCCTCCACCGCCTTGCTCCACAAACACGGTGATGGTGAGATGTGGGGGGCTGCCCAGGTGGGATCACAGTTGTGGCCTGGCCTGGATGGGCCTGCCCTGGACTTCTCAGTGTTACCTTTGGGTACTTCCTGCCAAATGGCCAGAGGTGCCAGAAGTGAGTGCTGAACCAAAAAGTCTGCAGCAGTGGAAAAGACTCTCGTGCCAGGCTTGCCTGGGGTCAGAGCCTCAGAAAGTTGGGATATAGCAGGAGAACATCTTATTCTCTTTAGTGGCTCCCATGGAGTGAGCTGGACGGGAGTCTCCCTCTAGAATGTGGGAGCTGGTTATCAAAGTTCTGAGTTCTGTTGGGGCCTACCACCAAGCAGGTTAGGTCACTTCTTCAAGGTTCCATTACCTTGACCCTTTCCTTCAAAGACTTCCCCAAAGATTCCCTGAGCTACTGACGGCTCACCCTCCTCCCCTATGTCATGTCCTTACCTGTTCACAATTTTGCCAGCACCATTGCTCTGGGAAAACCCAAATGCAGCTAGGGCCCTAGTTTTGAGGAGACATAGCTGGGTTCCAACCCTTCTTTTTCTGACCAGTTCTGTGCCCTGGAAAACTCACTGTATGTCTCAGAGCCTCTCCAGCCTCCCAACCTGCACAGTGCGAATCATCCCAGCATCTGGTTCCCAGAGGCATCATTAGGCATATAGGAGATAATTCTCATAACACTCACAGGTTGGTGTCACAAGTAACAAATGCACAAACTTAAAGAAGGAAGAATTATAAGGATGGATGGGAGGCCGGGTGCGGTGCTCACACCTGTAATCCTAGCACTTTGGGAGGCCAAGGTAGGTGGATCACCTGAGGTCAGGAGTTCAAGACCAGCCTGGCCATCATGGTGAAGCCCCATCTTAAAAAAAAAAAAAAAAAAAAAAAAAAAAAAAAAGGATGGATGGGATGCAGTATGGACTTACAACTGAAGACACGCCCGGTTCCCCAGTATAATATTGGAAAAGTTACTTCCACTCTGGGCCTCATTTCTCATTCTGCACCATGAGGGGGTTAATATAAAATGAAGCTCATATCTGGTCATCCTGTGGCATAAAATCAGAGCCAGTGTCTCATCCCAGCCTGAGTGGCAGGCTGCATCATGCACAGCAGCTTGCAATGAACCTCACTGCTGGGATTCATTCCCTTGTGTAACCGTGAAGTGGTTAGTGACTCCCCTTGGGACTCAGAGAATACAGCAAAGTGCTGGGTTGCCTCTCCTGTCCGGGTCAGCTAGGGCTACTGTAAGAAAGTGCCACAAACAGGGTGGCTCACCATAACAGAAATGTATTCCTTACAGTCCTGGAGGCTGGAAGTATGAAGTCAGGGTATCAGCATGGTCCAGTTTTGCCAAGGTCCCTCTTCAGGGTAGCAGACTGCCAGCTTCCTGTTGTGTCCTCAGATGCTTGAAAAAAAGGTGAAGGGTCCCTTTGAAAAGGGCACTAATCTCATTCATGAGGGCTCCACCCTTAGGAGCTAATTATCTCACAAAGGCTCCACCTTCTAATATTATCACATTGGGAATCTGGCTATCAACACACGACTTTTGGGAGACATAAACATTCAATCCATTGCAACTTCCAATACTGAATTACAAAAAAGTGCCAGTTTCCTTGTATTTGCTGTCACCTGTGTTTCTCCCTCCCTTTCCCTCTCCTTCTCTGTCCCTCTCGTCTTACTGCCTCTGTCATAGCCCTCTAACTGAGAAAGCAAGCTTTCATCTCTACCCAACATAGAGACCCACATGGCAAAGAGCTGGGAAACACCCAGGCCAACAGACAGAAAGGAACTCTGGCTCAGTCCAGACTGGTTCTGCCATTACCCACGTGAGTGAGCTTGGGGGCAGCTCCTCTCACAGTCCAGCCTCAGTGAGAGACCTGAGAGACCTCCAGGCAGAGGCACGCAGGTAAGCTGTGCTCAGGTTCCTGATCCACAGATTGTGAGAGATTAAATATTTGTACTTCCACATTGCTAATATTGTGAGAAGAATGGGTAACTCACCTAGTCTACCAGGCCCCAGGATCTAGCCCTGCCATCGTTCCCCTCCTCTCTCATCCTCTCCTTGGGGGCTCCCTCAAGCCACACTGGCTTTTTTCTTTTTGAGATGGAGTCTCACTCTGTCACCCAGGCTGGAGTACAGTGGTGCAATCTCAGCTCACTGCAACCTCCGCCTCCCAAGTTTAAGCAATTCTTCTGCCTCAGCCTCCCAAGTAGCTGGGATTACAGGTATGCACCACTACGCCTAGCTAATTTTTGTATTTTTTAGTAGAGACGGGGTTTCACATGTTGGCTAGGCTGGTCTCAAACTCCTGACCTCAGGTGATCTGCCTGCCTTGGCCTTCCAAAGTGCTAGGATTACAGGTGTAGCCACCACGCCCGGGCCACACACTGACTCTTTCTAATCTCCTCTGCCAAACTCACCACTGTCTGGGAGTCTCTGCTTTGGTGGTGCCTTCTGCCTGACACATTATTCCCAGGCGTGTGCAGGGCTGGCTTCCTCTGGTCTTTCTGGTCACAGCATAAATGTAAGGCTCCTCTGCCCCCACCCAGTGACTTCCCAGCCCCACCTCTTAGCACCTTACTTCATTTTCTCTACAGCACTGGCTCTTTTCTTTCACATGCCTTTGTCCACCTCCCCTCCAGACTGTGAGCTCCTGGAGGGCAGGGACCACTCGGCTGATCTCAGCACAGCACGTTGGGCCCACCAGGGCACCTGCACAGGGTGAATGCTCAGCCATGGTTGTTGAATGAATAAATGGGAGGATCGCAGACTTTCCGCCTCCCCACCTTCTGACCAGTTAAGACTGTGGAGATGATCAATAAAAATGAGAGGTGCGAGTTAGGCCTGAGGCAGGAGGCCGGACAGCATGAACTCTGGGTGACTCTTCCCTGGTTCCAGTTGCTGGCAAAGCAAGGTGGGCACCACCGTGGACACAGGAGGCTGACCGCCCCCTGGTGGCCAGCCATAGCACTGCAGCCCCAGGCTGGAGCACCTCGACTTAAGTCACACACTCTGGCTGGGTGACCTCAAGGCAGTGGTTCTTCAGGGGTCTGCAGGGGGCAAAGGGGCAAAGGAGCAGGTCTGCAGGCTCCAAGGGCAGTGTGAGAAGCCTCAGAAGCCTCCCTTGAACCCTCTTTGCCTCCGCTTCTTTTGGTGTCAGGCATCCTTACCTTGGCCAGGGCAATGCTTCCCTCTACTTTCAAATGCAGACTCAGAATCCAACAAGGACCAGCGTCATCCCTGGACCATAGACTCAGTGTCCAGTGCTCTGGCAACCTCTGCCTATAGCAAGCCCTCATCACCCAAGCCCCAAACCTCTCTCTGCTCTGAAGGATGTCCAGGGAGTGGAGAGCATTTTCCCAGAGTCTCAGAGCACAGTGGGCACTGATGGATAACCCACATCAACAGACACTTTCTGAGTATGTAGAACCCTTGGGGTCACCCCCCTCAAGTACCCTAATTAATACAGGAGGAAACAGAGGCTTTCTCTCCCATAGCCTCTGTCTGTACTAGTGGAGAGGGCTCATCCTGCTTCCGGGTGCTCAGAGCAGTGGCACTGTCCTCTCAAGGCTGTTCTGGAGCCCTTAGGGAGCCCTATGTCTGCCCTGCTCGTGCCCTGGGTTCCTGGGCATGTTGCTAGGAGGCTGATGCCACTGACCCATAACAGAGGTGCCTCCAACCTCTTTCTGCTTTCCTTCTGGGAGGAGGCTGAGCACTGGCCTAGGAAGCTGGAGCCCTCCCTTACCCTCTAGACTCTGTGCATCTTCTGTGGCCTAAGCCAGGCTCTGTCTCTTTCTGGGATTCACTTTCCCAAAAGCACAATGAGGGGTTGGCCATGAAACTGCTGATGTGTGCTTAGCAAGGATGCAGTGTCAAGTTCCACCAACAGGATGGGATGTCAGAGTGGGGCAGCTCAGGTGCATATCGTGCAGAAGCCTCACTAACTGGGGCAGATGCTGAGGGACGCCACATATAACAGCCAGGCCTAGTGTCCATGGCCAGGCATGCTCAAGGGGCCCTGTGTCTGGACAAAGAAGAGAATATGCTGGTGAGTTCCTGCTACACTGTGTCCACAAGTGCAGTACACAAGAAATCCCCAGGCAATACAAGTGTAGCCTCCTACACTTGCAGAGGCCTGGGTCACATCTTTACCACTGGAGCCAGGAAGTGGTGTCAGTCTCACTTAAGCACTAAGAGTGAGGGCAGAGAGGGGCAGTTCCTCAAGAAAAAACAGAGGTGCTGTCTCCAACAGAAGAGGAGTTGGATGTCAGACAGATAAAAGCACTCGATCTCAGAATCATACATGTAGACTCCATATCTACTTCTGCCACTAGGCTCATGGGGATATGTATGTCTCAGAGAAGGTAGGTGTCTTGTCCAAGGTTACACAGTGAGCAATGGCAAAACACTCATACTTTGGTTAACATTCAATATGGCTACATATACTAGAATCACCAAAATAATAGTGACATGTATTAGGGTTCTCTAGAGGGACGGAACTAGTAGGATAAATGTATATATAAAGGGGAGTTTATTAAGCACTAACTTACATGATCACAAGGTCCCACAATAGGCTGTCTGCAAACTGCAGAGCAAGGAGAAGTCAGTCTGAATTCTAAAACTGAAGAACTAGGAGTCTGATGTTCGAGGGCAGGAAGCATCTGGCACAGGAGAAAGATGCAGGCTGGGAGGCTAGGCCAGTCTCTTTTTCCACATTTTTCTGCCTGCTTTATATTCTAGCTGTGCTGGCAGCTGATTAGATGGTGCCCACCCAGATTCAGGGTGGTTCTGCCTTTCCCAACCCACTGACTCAAACGGTAATTTCCTTTAGCCACACCCTCACAGACACACCTAGGATCAATACTTTACATCTAGGATTCAATCCAATCAAGTTGACACTCAGTATTAACCATCATGTGACACAAGCAAGAGACAGATTTATTTCTTTCTCATGTAAAATAACTCAGTGACAGGCTGTCCATACTGACCTTGGACTAACCACCATGGTTCATGAATCACCTGTCTTTCTGTTCTAGCATCTTGTATGTGCTTTCCATCCTCAATGCAGTCTCATGGTCCAATGTGGCTGCTGGAGCTCCAGCCTCGACTGGCCACCACGTTTGCATTTCAGACAGCAAGCAAGGCAGGGCAACCTCCCCACCCACCCCGCACCACAGTCTGTGTCAGTTCCATCTGAGCAGTCTCCCCAAAGTCCCACACCACACTGTGGTCACATCTCATGGGCCTAAACTTAGTCTGGTCATTCTTAGCTGCAAGAGAGGTTGGCAGCTTTAGTCTTCTAGTGTAGTGAATTGCTGCCCTAAATAAAACAGAGTATCTGTACATAAGAATAAGGGGAGAATGAAAACCGTGGAAACTAACAGTGCTCTCTCTCACTACAGCAAGTGCCAAGATAGAGAGGAAGGGATGGGGTTGTTTTCAGATGAATCGGACATTTGTTTACCTATCACAGCCGCTCTTTTCTCACTGTTTATTCATTCACAGAGAGAGAAAAAGCTTAGTTCCAAACCAGGATATATGAATGGGACCCCTGCTTTTAATTCCCAAGCAGAATGACTGGAATCACTGTGTTGGCTTTCATCTGTTTGTACCTTGTAAGTAAATCTGAGAACATCCTTTCCTATTTCATAAATGGGGCAGGGAGGGGCTGAGAGCTGTGAAACCTTTAAGGCAAGCAGCATGTCCCTACAAAACTGGGTCAAAATTGAAAGTCTGTAAATGTAAAAAGTACAATGTATTCACCCCAAGGACACTTTGACCCTCATAGTAAATATTACCAGTAAAATGAATCCACCCAAAATAAAACTTAGTGCATTCAGCCTGCTCTAACAAAATGCCATAAACTGGATGGCATGTAAATGACTGAAATTTATCCCTCACAGCTCTGGGAGCTGGGATGTCGTAGCTCAAAGTCCCAGAAGATTTGGTATCTGGTGAGGGCCAACTCCCTGGTTCACAGACAGCTGTCTTCTCGCTGTGTCCTCAGATGGCAAGGCAGAGAGGGAGCTCTCAGTGGCTTGTTTTGTAAGGGCACTCATGCCATTCATGAGGGCTCCACCCTTACAGCCTTATCACCTCCCAAAGGTCCAACCTCCAAATACCATCATACTGGGGGACAGGTTTCAAAAAGGAATTTGGGGGGACACAAACATTCAGTCTACAGCAAAAACTGATCATGGTTAAAGCTGCACATGGTAAAATTTATCATTTGCTGAAAATTGATGTAAGAAAAGTATATTTAACATTTTGATATGCATAATTTGACCAAGGAAAACTGACTTGGTAGGAATAATACCTAAAGAAAGGTGACAATAGCAGAATCTAAAGTTAGTAAATTATGATGTGGACCCCCCAGGAATCAAGTCATTTACAAAAAATAACTTCGAGCCAGGCCTGGTAGCACACATCTATAATCCCAACACTTTAGGAGGCCGAGGTGGGAGGATTGCTTGATGTCAAGGGTTTGAGACCAGCCTGAGCATATAATGAGACCTTGTTTCTATAAAAAAAAAAAAAAAAATGAACATCCACTGCAGCATCCTAAATTTCTAACAGCCTAGTTTGAATTCATACCAACTTAGCTTCAAAAGCATACAAAAACCCTGCTCCTATACAGTTCATTCCCTCCTACTTTTATGTTGTTGGCAATCCTCCCACCTCAGCCTCCTGAGTAGCTGGGAATACAGGCATGTGTCACTATGCTTAGCTATTTTAAAAAATTAATTAATTAATTAATTAATTAATTTTAGATGTTTGGTCTCTCTGCATTGCACAGGCTGGTCTTGAATTCTTGGCTTCAAGTGGTTGCCCAACCTTGGCTTCCCAAAGTGCTGGGATTACAGATATGAGCCACTGTCCCTGGCCATAAATTACACATTTTATATATATGCCCATTAAAATATTTATAATTACTTTTCATGCATTTATCTTTTGAACCACATAAGAAATGAAGAGTTGCAAGTCAAAAATGCAGCAATATTGCTTTTATATTAATCTATGCAGTTATCTTTACTAGAGATCTTTATTTTTTCATATGGCTTCAATTTGCTGTCTAATGTCCTCTCATTTCAATCCCCAAGGACTCCCTTTAGCATTTCTTGTGAGGACAGGTCTACTGGCAATGAACTTCCTCAGATTTTATCTGTGAATGTCTTAATTTATCCTTCATTTTTGAAAGCTAGTTTTGCCAGAAAGAGAATTCTTCCTTGAGTTTTTTCTTTCAGCACTTTTTTATTCCACTGCCTGCTGGTCTCCATAGTTTCTGATGAGAAAGCAGCTCTTAATCTTATTGATAAGTCCTTATGGGTGATTAATAATTTCTCTTTTTCTGTTTTCAAGATTCCGTCTTTGTCTTTGACTTTTGACACTTCAATTATAATATGTCTTGGGGTGAAGCTCTTTGAGTGTATCTTAGGAGTTTGTTGAGATTATCCTTGGGGGGGGTTGTTCAGTTTCTTGGATCTGTAGATTCATTTCTTTCATCAAATTTGGGACATTTTTAGTCATTATTTCTTCAAATGTTCTTTCTTTTCCCACTCTCTCTACTCTTCCTGAAACTCTCATACTGTAAATTTGATTCACTTGATGGTGTTCCACAGGGCCCTTAGCCTCTGTTTGCTTTTACTTATTCTTTTGCCTTTCTGTTCCCCAGACTGAATAATTTCATTTCCCTGTCTTCAAGTTCATAGACACTTTCTCTACTTGCTCAAATCTGCTGTTGAATGCCTCTAGTGAATTTTTCATTATTATAGTTTTCACCTCCAGAATTTCAGTTCAGTTCTTTTTTATTTCTATTTATTTATTAATATTCTTTCTTTGTTCATATATAATTCTACTGATTCCTTTTAGTTTTTTGTTTATGGTTTTCTCTATCTCATTAAATATATTTAAGGCAGTTGACTTAATGCCATTGACTAATAATTCTAATGCCTAGTCTTTCTTAGAAATGATTTCTGTAAACTATTTTTTCTGTGAATGGGCCATGTTTTTCTCTTTCTTTGTAAGTTTTATACTTGTTTGTTGAGAGCCAGAGATTTTAAATACCATGTTGCAGTAACTGGAAATCTAATTCTTCAATGCCTCAGAGATTTCTGATATTTTATGAGGGCTGGGCCACCTATTTATGGCTTTTTAAAACTATTTTTACAAGATATATATTGTTGTGTGTGGTCACTAAAGTTTCTGTTCCATCATTTCTGTAATCAACCAGTGACCTGACAAAGATTTCCTTAAATGTCTGGCTCCCAAAAGAGGCAGGGGTGGGAGTATGAGTATTGTCTCTTTAAATCCCCTGGAAGCTGCTTCAGCCCATGGAGGTTAAAACAGTGGCTGTCAGCCTCTGTGCTGGCCCTCAACAATCAAAAGCAGAAATCAACACTCAGAACACAAAACCTAATATTTGAAGGACAAAGTCCTTATTGCTTACCCTTGCTCCAACAAGTAACACCAGGAATGTGGGCTGCCACTCCTAAGGCTGCACATGCACACACACACACACACACACGCACACACACGATATGCACACACACATACATACAAATTGCTTGTAAAGAAATCTCCCATAATTACAGTGATATTTACAAGTGAGTTTATAGTTCAACCTGTAGTGTACAAAGGGAGGGAAACGCCACATTAGTGCCGACACACTCTATCACTCTCAGATTAAGAACCACATTCTTAGAGGAAACCTTCTGCACTGTCTCACTCCAGTCAACAGCTTGCTAGCTCTCCTTAGCCAACTGCTAGCTCCCAGGTGCTATATTTTTCTAATTATAAATATAAAACATCCTGTTTTAAGAAAGTTTCTACTGAAAGCAATGATTCCAATTTTAAATGAAAAAGACTGAGTGTGAGAGGATGAGGGAGAATTAGGAGGAAGAGGAAGAAGATTACCTCTTGTACTTATAGTAGGGGAAATATAATGTGGGGCTAAGTGAACTCTAGAAAGACCCCCCAAAAAGAATGATTCTAACTTCCCCAACTGGTGTGAGCATTAGGGCAGGTAAGGTGATCTTGTAGTTGGGTGATGCAGAATTCTAATAAAGATAAATTTGTGTATGCCTGTGTCTATTGGTATAAACAAGAATACCCTGATTAGCTTCTCTCTGGGTGGAGTTGGCTGTTGGGGGATTTTAAGTAGCAATATAATATGACCCAGCACCCCTGTTTTATGACAAATATTTTGTAATCCCTTTATTTACTTTCCTAAAGTGAAATTCACAGATAAAAATAGCATTGGAAAATTCATTGTATAGTGAAACTGTGGGGAAAATTATTTGTGTTTATATATAAGGCAGAGGTCTGTCATCTACATAATCAGCACTTGTTGGTTGAGACAAGGGAAACTCCCCGCTCCATGGAGGAAGTACCACAAGCATCCCAGCCCCACCAACTCAATGCCAGGAGGTGCACCTGATCTTCTAACAACCAAAATAACCTCCTGAAAGTAAAAAACAAAGTGCCCCAGGCTCGGGGTGCGGGGGGGAGGCTACTCTCTCAAGAGTGGTTGAGTATCTGTGGGGAGTGGTTATTTCCCATAGATAACCACTGATGAATAGAAATTCACCAAACAGCCCCAGGAGAAGGCTCTTTTGCTACTTTCTTCTTCACTTTGCCACATAAGGGAATCTGAGGGTAGAACCAGAACCAAAGGGCTCTGGAATTCTATGCCACCTCCCAATTTAACAAAAGGTCAAGTCCACAATGATTTATCCCAAGGCAAGCACCTAAGGGGCAGTGATTCTTCCTGTATAGCACCCTTCTTTCAGAGCCCACACTTCTCAAATACTGTCTGCTTCTTTGATTTCAGTGTCAGCTCACCTATACTGAGCACCTCCTCTGCACCTGTGTAGTTTCTTCTCACTGCCTCCCCACTTTCTCACCCCTAGCAGCTATTGCAGTGCAATTTGTGTGCCATCTGGTTTATTGACTATTACAGAATCCGTCATATTGTGGTTGATTGCCTTGCTTAAAGTATTAGTTACCTCACCTCCACACCTCACCCCACAGCTGGGCCCCTAAGCCAGCTAACTCTTAATAATATCTACATCCTTGGAATCATTCTTATTTTGGGGTCCTAAGACTGAGCTATATGAATGACCTACAACTCAGGAGAGGGCAAATGTGACCTCTTAGCCAAGACCCTCCCCTGTTGGTTCTATGACCTTTCTATACACAATATCCCTTTAAGCTTTCATTATCCCCTGTTTTCCAGTGTGCTGTAGCTGTGTGGCCTCTAAAGCTTTGGTGATCAGTCCCTTCTGGGGATTAGCCCCTTTCAGCTGACTCACCTTGGAGGGCTTTGTGGGCAGATTAGAGGGTTTTGCTTGATCAGCACATCCTTAGCTTTACCAGGGCCTGGATTTTAGCAGGGCTCCGGCAAGCTCTCCCTTTTGTTTTTTGTTTTGTTTTGTTTTGTTTTGTCTTTTCTCCTTACTCAGTTGAAACAAATGCAGTTGTCTAGAAATTCCTCTGCATCTGTTCATGAGGCAATTAAAGCTGATGGGAGAGGCAGTGATTATGATGTTGATGATTAACCCAAAGTAGATCTGTCCAAAGATTCCTTTTGTCGTGGATCTATTTTTCCTGACCTTATGTAAGCAAAAAGCACTCATGTGGCTGGGTTCCATCTGTATACATAACTTTGAACATGCTGTTGCTCAGCTTCAAATAGTATTGCTAAAATTATTTGCAATCAAATAGCAACTAAAGATGAATAAAATGTAAACTCTTTTCAAGTTGTTCACAAGGGAGATGAGATATAAAATCACTTGTTATGTTCTTTCTGCTGTAAATATATTTGAAGAACAAAGCACTCTAGAAGCTCAGCTAAAAGAGTAGTGATTGTCAGGTGGGGGATTCGAAGAAGGCTTCCTGAGAGAGGAACTACTCCAGGCATTGAATAAGGGCATTACCAAGTCCCTGTTGTCCGTTTGATGGGACATAAAGTGATAGAAATGAAAGTTTTGTTTCTGGTTTTTGGTTTCTTTTGGGGGTCAATATAGAGAAGAAGGTGAGATCTCACTTCCAATATAGGAAGTGAGATGACAGCACCTAGAGGTCTATCAAGTTGTCACTCTAAATTCTGCAAGTGGCAAAGCTGCCTATGGTGGCTATAAAGTCTGAGAGGCTCTTAGAGGAAAGATGAGGAACGTATTGTTCTGAGGCTGTATTGCAGACACCAAAAGAGCTATTGGGTAAGAAACAAACAAAATGAACTACAGATATGTTCCTGGACCATGCTTGCTGTCTCACCCTCATTCTAAACTGTGCTTGCTGATGAGAGAAGAAAGAGCTGAAGGACAGAGATTCAACTCAACCAATAGTATTGGTCCTGCCTGCTTTGTACAGGTATTTTGGTGTTTGTATCCAATGTGACTCTCTCCAAATGAACAGGCTTCCCAGGTGTGGACAAAAATGCATGAAGGGCTTTGGATGGAGGTTTCACACTGGAAATATGTCCTTCTTTCTTTGCCGAGGATAAGCTGCCAACAAAGCCATCTTCCTTCCCCATATTTGGGCCTTGATTTGCACTTCCTTTCCATGGTAACCTCTCTCTTTTCTCTGGACAGGCACAATGACCTGTCAGGCTTCTGCTTAGTGGCCAGCTTTTACTGATCCCCCCTCCAATCTACCTTTCCTACCCTAAAAGCCACCTTGACCAGAGTACAAAGGACTTCTCTACAGCCCTTGAGGATGGGAAATTGTGCTTGCCTCTTTTAAAAGAGATCTGGATGCTCCTGGCCACAGCTCCTGTTGTCCAAAGACACGCTTGGGCTTTTGCAGAGGAAGAATGCCTTCTGCCCGAGTCCTCTTCATTTAGAAAACTCTGCTATTTGGCCCCAGAATATATGCTTTCCTCGAAGGAAATTTTTAACATGGGTTCACAGCAGAGCATTAAGGACTCCAAATCTTCTCTGAGATCATTCATCAAAATTTGCTTTCATCTATTCTGACATCCCCATAAAAAGGTAAGAACCATTGTGCCTAAAGAGTAACTAGTCTGTGCCATCTCTGATATCTCTTAAATCTCCTGAAATCCAATTATATCCAGGGTATGAGGGTGAATTCTTGAACTCCCTGGGCCTTGGACCACTTCACAAAGACAAAAAAACCACGATGTCCTAACCTGCCCTTGCTATGTTAGCTACCCAGGTAATTCTGAGAACCTCCTGATGTCTTGGACAAAAATCTACTTGCAGAACAGATACTTTACCCAAGAACACATATGAAGGACCATGAAACACATGAAGAGATGCTCAACATTACTAGTCATGAGGAAATGCAAATTGAAACCTCTGTTTGTTGTCCCTATACATCCACTGGAATGGCTAAAATTAGAAAGACAGACAACGCCAAGTGTTGGAGTAGATTTAGAGCAACTGGAAGTCTTACACATTGCCAAGGAGGGAGTAAAAGTGGGAGTCCAAAACAGTGAAGCTACATTAAAAAACAGTTTGGCGTTTTCTTAAAAAGTTAAGCATACACCTATCCCACAACCAGAAATTCTATTCCTAAGTCTTTATATCAAAAAACCATATCACCACACAAAGACCTTCATGTGGTTGTTATAACAGCTTTATTCGTAATAGCGCAAACTGGAAACAACACAAATGTAAATGTGAATGAATAAACAAATTGTGATAGAGCCATACAATGGCTTACTCTTCAGCACTAAAAAGGAACCAATGACTGGTATGTGCAACAACATGGATGACTTTCAAAAGCGTTATGCTAAGTGATGAAGCCAGACACAAAAGATTGCATCCTGCATGATTCCATTTATATGATATTCTAGAAAAGGCAAACCTGTGATGACAAAAATTAGATCAGTAGCTGCTAGGGGATAAAGGTGGGGGAGAGAATTAACTGTAAAGGGGCACAGGAGAAGTTTTGGAATTATGAACTAATTTTGTATATTGATTGTGGTGGTAGATACACAATTAAAGACATTGGTCAAAACTCATTAAACTGTACATTTAAATATTATATGTCAACTATCAGTAAAGCTGGTTTAAAATAACTAGCTGCAGAGCTTCATTTTTCTTCATGCATAGGACAGTCTAAACATGGAACATCTTTGCAAAAACAAAGGATCTTCAACTTGGGGTCAATTCACATGATTTTATGATTTATTCTACATATGAAACTCTGGAATTGTTTTTTTTAATTTCCTACTACTGCTAGCACCCTTTCCATTGGCAGCTGCTTTTTACATCTTTTCCATCTAAAATGTGGAGCCACAGGATGTTGTGAGCACTGCAGAGACCAAGTTGGGGCTGGCTGTCTTTTAGGTCTGTCTTGGCCCATTCCTGCTACTATAACAAAATATCTTAGACTGGATAATGTATAAATAATAGAAATGTATTTCTTACAGTTCTGGAGGCTTGGAAGTCTAAGGTCAGGGTGCCAACAGATTTGGCATCTTGTGAGGGCTTGTTCTCCACTTCAAAGATGGCACCCTCTTGCTGAATCCTCATACAGTGGAAGGGGCAGAAGGCTCCTTTGAGCCCTTAAGGGTGCTAATCCTACTCACAAGGATGAAGCCTTGTGAGTAGGCTTCTCAAAGGCCCCACCTGTCAACACCACAGCAATGGGGATTAGGTTTCAACATGAATTTTGTAGGGATACAAACATTCAGACCATAGCAAAGTCTATTAAAAATCCACTGCAATGTTTGGAGTAGACTGGAGGGGAGAGAAAGGAGAAAGGCATCTGAAATAGACTGAAATAGAGAAAAGGAGATGCAGAGAAATTCAGGAGAGACATTTAGGTAAACTTAGTCAGACACCAGATCTGGGATATGAAAGAGAACAGTGTTAAAGAAGAGCCCTGTTCAAAAATCTTGAACAATTCCCCACTGCCTGTGGGAAAACACCCAAATGTCTGAGCACTGGATATCAGGTTTTCCAGATCTACTTCCAATTTATCTTTTTATTGCCTACTGCACCTTTTTGCTGAATCAGAAGCTCTATAGGCACAGGCTTATCCACACTCTGTGGAAATTTGTTATTTAACAGCTGGTGTTCAATATAGGTTGATTGTCCATTCACCTTCTGACAGATGCTTGTATTCTTTCCATTTGGGGCTAGATCAACAAAATTTCTACGAGCATTCTTGTACAGGTGTTTGTGTGGACATATGCTTTCATTTCTCCTAGGTAAATACCTGGGAAAGAATTGCTGGGCCATCTGGTAGGTTTGGTACATCCCTACAATACCACTCAGCAATAAAAAGACATGAGCTACTACTACATGTAACAACAGGGATGAACATAATTTGCTGAATAAAAGAAGCCAGACAGCCCCCCAAAAGGGTAGTACATACGATTCCATATATAAAAGTTTTATATACCACTCTAGAAAAAGCAAACTAATCTACAGCAACAGAAAGCAGGTGAACAGTTCAGGGGGCAAGGGACAAGGTGGGACAAAAGATAAGAATTATAAACAATAAATAATACAACTTTTGGGGTGATGGATATATTACAGTGATGGTCTCACAGTGGTATATGAACGAAAAAATTATCAAACTGTACATTTTAAACCTTTATTGTATGTCTTATACATTGCAGTCAAGCTGTAATAAAATACTGGTTGAAGCAGCAGCAGGTTCTCAGTAAATGCGTATCAAATGATGCAGAGAAGTGTTCAATGTGGGCTGAAGCAGGTGCCCAATACGTGTCGGTGGAATTAATGTGCAGAAGAAATACATATTCACTTATGAGGTGTTCAATAATTTTAGAATGAATGGATAAATCTGACAGATATTTATCGCTGATGTGTGCAAGGCACTATCCTAGGCTCTGGGAATAGGTTAAGGAACCAAACAAAAATCCTTTGCTCACAGAGCTTTAATTTTAGGATGATAGCGGACAATAAAAACGTAAGTAAAAATACATATAGTGTGCTAGATAGGTGCTAAGGAGGAATACGGCCGAGAAGGGGGATAGGGAATGTCAAGGGAGGAGGTTGACATGTTAGAGACTGTGTCCACCGTCATTGAAAGGATGGTGCTTGAGAAAGGCCCGAAGGATATGGGCGGACAAGGTGGGTGGGTGTCTAGGGCAATAAAAAGTAACTGCTCCAGATGTTGAAGAAAATAATGTGCAGGAGTTGAACTGTTTGGAAGGAGGGTGAGCTCCATAGCAGCAGCCGCCCACACCCCCGCTGGGTCCCAGCTGGCCCGGCCCGCGCGTACCTGCGTAGTCCACCAGGAGGCGCTCCCGCCCCCTCCCCGCAGGCGTCTTCCGCCGCCGGCCGGTGCGTGGGCACGCGCAGAAACCGCTAGGCGGCGTCGGTTTCCCTTCCCACGCGCGGACGCCAGCGTGGGCCGACGCGGCCGGGGCGCCCGCGCGTGCGCAGAGCCGAGGCCGGGTTGCCCTCGAAGCGGGGCGGGGCGGGACGAAGCGGGGCGGGGCCGAGCAGGGCGGGGCGGGGGCTTGAGGTGATTCCCGAGTCGCAGGGCGGCTCCGGCGGTGCGGGGAAACCGAAAGTGGGCGGCGGCCGCGGCAGGGGCAGTGGTGGAGACGGCAGCGGGAGCTGGGCCCTGAGGCGCGGGGACGGGCCGTGGGCCCCTGAAACGAGGTGAGCGCAGGTTCTGCGGGCTCCGGGCGCGACAGGTGCCGAGCGACGTCGGACGAGATTTCGGGCGGGCGCGGCGCACCTGGGTCATCGGCGGGACCGCAGCCGGGGCCGGGGCTCTAACAGGCTCGGGGCCTCTTCCCTGCAGCCGCAGGGGCTTGCCCCGGCCCCGACGCCTGGGAATCGGGCTGGGCGCCGGGGGAGTTGGAGTTCCAGAGCGTTGTGTTTTAAATCTCTAAAGGGACCCCGCTCCGGGCCGGGCTGGACATTCACCCGGGAGTCGGACGGACCCTTCTGCCGCTTCGGAGGCTCTGCGCGGTGGGGAAAATGCAGCAGCGGGGTTTGGACGCGGGCGGGCGATGCGGACCAGGAAGTGGTTCCCGCTACCAGCGCGGCAGGCCGCAGCCGCCGCCCGCAGCGAGGGATGTCCGCGCTCCCCTATTTGAACCCATGTATTTTACACCACGAACTTCTCTTGAAGGTCTCTATAATCGGAAGACGAGCCCAGGCAGGCCGCTCAAGTAATGCAGGACACATATCCCCGTTCCTCTCAAACCGGGAGCATCCAGTGGGTACACAGCACCCAACTGGGAGGGAAGCATGGATCCGTGAATAAGTTGTCTCTCAACTTTCAGCAGCATCCGCTCAGCAGGGTCAGACTCTCAGCCTCAGCTTGCTAGGAGGGAGCTTGGAGCCGGCACTTCTTTCTGCTCCCATTCGCTTGAGAGGTATAATATATTTCCATTAATAGCTAAAGGTACCATTCCCAAATAATTTCTAAGAGCAGGGAGGGGAAACAACCACATTAGAACAAGTCCTGGCCCAAAAGAATTCTGATAACCCCCTAAGCCAACCAAACCAAAAAACCACAGATCTAGTTCATTAACCCTCCTCCCAACACCTCTCTGCTCTCCAGTTGTGCCGGTGGAAAAAAAAAATGCAAACAAATGTTCTCTCGAGAGAGATATGCAACAGCTTAGTGGCAGAAGTAAATCTTAGACCCAAATCCCTGTCTCTTCCTGGGCTGCCTTGATGTATATGAATGTGTTGCATGCTGCGAATAATGTGAACTTTGCAGACCTGGATTGAAATCTGTGCTTCTCATTTTACAAGTTGTGTGATCTTGAACAAATATATACTTTCTCTGAGCCTGGTTTTCTATGTGTCAGATAGAAATGTTTGACTTACTTTGCAAGGCTTTTTCAAGATAACAACTGTAAATCCTTTGCCTCGTAGTAATTGCCAAGCAGTATTCACTGTCTTCCTCCCAACAAACTGTCCATGTTTTACATAATTGTATTTTAGTTTTTCGAGGGCAGGGACACAGTTTATGTTTCCTATATAATCTAAATTGGCACATGGTGGATATTTTTGCATTTCCACTCAGTTGACATTCATTGAGCATCAGTTACATGCAAAGTACTGCTCTGGGAGTAGGGAATTGCACCCGGGACCAGCTGGATTAGAACTCACGTCTCCTATGCCCCAATCCAGGGTGCTTTGGTGGCTACAGCCTCCCTCTTTGGCAGTTACACAGTGAGGCTGTGAGGCAGCAGTTGGCAGTGCCTTCGGATTTCAGTCCCTGTAGATTGAAAATCAAAGGTAATCACCCTGCTGATGCCCTTTAAGTGTACAGGTTGAACATGGCTGAATGAACTGTTGTATTTTGCATCAAGAGATTTAAACTCCTTGAAGAACCCCTCTTTTAAGTTCTTTGTGCAATATAATCTAGTTGGATGCATACTGTGAATATAAAGAAAAAATACTTTATAGTCCAACTCTGAGTGCCTACTTTGTCAAGTGTTGTTTTCAAGAATTAAGATTTGACATAGAGTGCTTTGCATCTGGACACTTTCACAGAAGTTCCTTGGTGAAATTTTATATTTATGTGCACTGCTGTTTCCTTGTGCCAAACCCGCTTTTTTCCTCCCTGCACTCCCACCTCTGTACTTTTGAAAGCTTCATTCTTGTCATTATTTCCCTGTGAGCCAAATGTGTTTAGTTTTGTCTTTCAAACAAAAAATAATTAAGTTTGCAATTTTAGTTGAAAAGATGTATATATGCCAATCAGAACTTGATCAGCGCAAGCTGCCCAGTGTGACTTCAAAGTAAGCTTGGCAAAAAGCGTGTGCAGCTTTGTCGTGAGTAAGCAAACTCGGTTTTCATTAGATTTTTGGACCTTATTTCAGCCTTGAATGAATCCAAGGAAAGTTGAGAATCATGCCACTTGCCCACCTTTCTTATCTTCCTTGTGAAAAAAAAGAGACCTGAAGTGACTTGTCACAGGTAGTTAGTAGCAGAGCTAGGATTAAGACATAAACTCCTTACTAAGCCACTTTATTATCTCAGGGTTTGTTCTCTAGTATGTATGCTTACAGAAATCCCTTACTTGCATACATTCATGGTATGCAGTTAAAATGCATGAATAATTTGGAACTTGAAATCACAGAATAAAATAGGTAACTGCCTAAAAACCTCTTAAGGAAGTACACCATCACTTGAGGGCATTAATCATCATCTTTCCTTTAAAAACCAGTTGGTGAAGGAGTAATTGAGGTGGTAGCAAGCAGACTATCATTAGAAAGAAAAGAGCATTTTAAAGTATTGCAAAATGAGAAATCATTTATTGGGTAAAGATCTTAGGAAAAAAATCTTCCCTCTGAGGCTCAGTTTATTGATTTGTAAGATAAGGAGTTTGAGTTAGCCTAGATGATGCCTAAAATGTTTTGGCACAGACATTATGGGACTTTAAGGTCCCAGCTGTTGCTAAAATAGTGTCTTCAAGGAGAAGGGCAGCTAGTTATTAGAAGCATATGCCCTAAAGAGGTATCCAAATACTTCAAGATTGAATATCTAACCAAAAGAAGCTAAGAGATTAGTTGGTGTTTTCAGTTTACCCTAATAATTCTTCAGATTTGTTTTAAGATTTAGTGCCACTTGACAACTTAAATTCATGACATGAAAAATGAGGTAAGGAATATGAACCAAATAATACAGTTGGAAATAGTTGGGCAAAGAGAAACTTAGAGAAGAGAAAGCGTAGGAAGGGAGTCAGACTAGCCCAGCTAAAGGCCTTTGACACAGTAGCTAGAGGAAGCAGATAACGTGCAAATGACTGAGCCAGGGAGGATCAATCAAGGGTAGAAGGCATTTATCTGGGATACACCAAAACCAGGTTCTTTAGAATAGGACTTTCTCGGGCCATTTTCAGGTATAGTAAAGAGAAAAGCTGTGAATTGACACAATGTAGTTTTGAAGTAGAGTGAGAATTATTTTAGGCCACTTAAATTATTTAAATTTTGTTTCCCTAAAGATTGTCATCACTTTCCCCAACCCCCTGCCCCACTTCGTGTGCATTATTAGCATCTTGGATTAACAATTAATTGGGTATAAGCAAAGAGAAAAAGAAAAGCACAAAAGCATAAAAAAGATGTCAGGTGCAACAGTTAGCAATTCTTCTGCAATTCTTCTGGATTTGGGTGCCACAACGTTAAATCAGAACGTGGCAGCTCCCTGTTTTATGCCACTTAAGGACTAGTCATTAAACATGCCCCAAGGTTGCTGTCAGTGTTTCCTGAGTCAAAATTTACCCTCAGAAGCCAACTGTATACATTAGGAGCAACTGTCTGAAAGGAAGTCCTAGTTTGGAAACCAGAAACTGGGTTCTTATGATTCTGGCCATAAAGATGTGAGAGCTGGAACAGTTCCCTTGGGCCTCCGTTTCTTGATTTTAAGCTGAAGAGTTTGGAGGAGATAGTGATAAGGTGCCCACTAGTATTCCAAACTTCTCCCAGTTCCCCATTCAGAGTTGGGCCCACTGTCCCATGTTGCTTTCCTAACCAGGCAGGATCCAGGGACATGGTGGGATTGTGGTGGCAGGGAATCTGCTTCTAAACCCTTGCCAAAGCAGTATGTGGCTTTTTGCCTACAAGTTAGATAAGAAATCTTGGAGGAGAGCCTGTGGTGTTCTTACCAAGCCTGCCAGTTCGTAAGTGTGTTAATGAGGCAAGTAAGAAAATCTGGGCAAATGCTGATATTTTAAATCTAATGCCATACAAAACATTTATTTCTTCAATACACCAATGCTTGTGTTATTGTACTCTTAGCCATTGGGTGCATATATTCATAGACACCATGCTTCTAGGAAAATCTTTTTATTTAGTAACTACTGACTGTCAAGTATTGTGCAAAGCACATATAACTCCACTTTTGATGCTTTTATTCAGAGAGACCAGGAGGAGAAAAACAGTGACAGGAGGGAAGTAAAGATCAAATGCAGTCTGTCATGGCCAGTTTCTCCATGACTGTGGTCTTTGCTAGCTAACTTTGGCCAGTTTTTGAAATCAAAGGTGGTATAATCCAATAATTCCCCAGACCCACTTCCATTTTACTCTGTGCTCAGGAGTCTTGTTTAGCTCAAGTAGCCCCCATATTGACTAGGGAAGCTCTTGGGAATTTTAACCTGAGACTCCGTGATCTAAAACAGAAGATGGACAACTTCATTTCTCCAGCATAGCCTAACTTGTGGTCACCTGGGCTTGCACAACATTCTCAGATTCACAAAATAAAAATAACATGAATTCTCCAAAACGTATTTATCACAGTACTTTTAGAGAACAGAAATGAGGGGGGAAGAGGAAGAGAGCTGAAAGATACAAATGGCAGCTCTAAAATTTTGAGGAGCCACTTTAGAAAGACTTCCAGACTTAGTTTGTTCTGGGGGATACCTAAAAGTTTGCCTTTGGGACACTAATAGTTGAAATTCCCATGATATGCTTTCTTTTATGC